ACAGTTTGCTCAAATCAAACAACAGAAAAATTACACGTAGAAGAAGTCAGTAACCAGGTGAACAAACGAACAAAAAGCAAAAAAACAACAGAAAAGAAAAAGCAAAAGAAACAAAAGAAATGAGAGAGTAACCAGAAATGAGCAGAACAAAAAAAAAAACAAGGGAAAGGAACGAAAAGGAGGTACCTATCCCCTCAGAAAAAAAAAATCAATGTCAAAAAATCACAAAATCCAAAAAAACGACACTAAAAAATAAGTAACTCCTGACTCTCAATACAAACTAACAAATGCAGACAAACAAAGGGGGAAGGCAGGAGGGAAGCAGAAATGGCAGGACACAGTGAAACTAAAGATCAAAAAACGATAAAATTAATGAGGAATGGAAAAAAAGTCTGGCACTCACAATAGCCAAAGTTCAGGGAACAATTCAATTCTTAATGCAAGCCATGCACAGGCCTTCCAGACATAATTGAAGGGAAAACATAAAAAAACAGTTCGCAAAAACGTTCAGAGATGGAATGTAATAAAGGATGAACACTCCAACGAGAATAAAGAGGGTCAACAGCGGTCACATGGACACAAATGCAGAAAACCAATAAAGATACAGCTTCGAGAGCAATCAGAGCAACTGCAAAGGCAAAACGAACTATCAGACAGTGATACTAAAAAAGACAAACAAACAAAATCGACTTCGAACCAAATCGAGGAGGCGGGTCATCACTCGGACTCTACAAAGACCCCTACTAACAAAAAAAAGGACCTAGACAGCAATAAAGCAGGCACTTCTGCTGAGACGTAAAAAAACTGGCAAAAATCCGCTAACAAGGCGCAAGAATATCCCACCTTAAGTCAAGGCATGAAAAAAAAAAACTAGCAAAACAAAATGCCCAAAAAAACACTCCAAAAGCAGCAAGAACTGTCCAATCAAACAAAAACAAGACACAACAGCAAAAAAACATGGCCAGACAGAACAAAAAACACAACTCGCCTGATATAAAGGAAGAACCCCCCTAAAAAAAGCTCTATCAGTCAAAAAGAAACCCAGGCACATAAAAAACCCATCTTAGTTGCCTGGAAACGCCGACAACACCCCCCACGACAAGATCAAGGAAGACTAAAGGCAGGAAAAGTATATTGAACAGTGGCACAGATGTCCCACACACAAAATCAGTGACACCACAAAGTAACACAATGAACTGGGCAGCGGGTAAAAGTGAAAATAACAAGCTAAAGGTAAAACAAGTCTAAATTAAATAGACAGAGAAATGGTAAAAAAAATTGGATACAACCAAAGAACGGAGAACAAGACACTCAGCTGAGAGCATAAGAAGAGGAAAAAAAGAAAAAAAAAAAACAAATAAAAAAAATGTACAAAAGAGACCTACATGTTGCTAAAGTAAGACGGATCAAAAAACGCAAAAAGAAAACAATTATTTAAGAACCCCAAGGAACCTAAAGATCACCCAATAAAAATACAAAGCAGCAAAGAAACATAAAGTACACAGAAATGTCATATTCATCTGCCTTTTACTTTGTTCTTACCTTGCAAGTCTTACAGTTAAGAACTTTTCAAAGCTAAAAGATATTTGAACAAAAACATGATCTCCAAATATAGTAATAAGTTCATTATATATAACTTTAAATAAAGGAAAAAGACCAAGTTAATTTTAAACTTATTATATAAATAATATTAATTTGTAAGCTGTTAGTCTTTCTGAAATGTTTTTTTTCTGTTGGTACTTACGGTTTAGAATTTTGTATTTTTGCCATGTTGATTGATTTGTATTCATATTACTTTTTTTTTCCTTCTCAGCTTTACTTATTATATAAATTCAAATACCCTTATTGCTTTACAGAAGAAATTGAAATTTAGTTTACAGTCTAAATGTAGAATATGTATATGTAGAAACTATCCTTTGGAAATTGAATTTAAAATGTATGCTTTAAAGGTTTGGGTTTGGATTTTGGATTTTTTTTTTCCTGTAGGGGTCTGGTTTTGTTGAAGTTAAAATTAAGAATGTTTTGTGGAGAAATTAGGCAAACTTTCTTTTTTCTTAAACCTAAAATTGGAAGAGGAAAACAGTATTGTAAGAAGTTCCAGGAGATTACATACAGAAGGACATTTAGATTCCATCTTGTGTGCTTACAAAATAATTATTTTGAAGATAAGACAGTATCAAAATTACTAATATTTAAACAATAATCTATATTATTAGACTGATAATATGAAAATCATTGTTTAGATGTCATTTTTAACAGACCATAACTTTTTGGGCAATGTTTTAGAACTCTCTGGAAAGACTTAAAACACTAGAACTATTTAAGTTTCTGCTTAAACCTGTTAGGAAGTCCATAGTCTTTGTATAAATCCAAGAAAGATTAGAAGATAAACTGCAGTGCCTCAGTAAACTGTTTCACTCTTTCCTAATTCTAGGCACTATTCACAGTATTTTCCTAATAACAAGATTTGCACAGAAAATCACGGTCTTATCATGGTATTTATTGACTGTGAACTCATTGTGAAAAGTATTGTGATAGGGATATATCTTTGACTCTGTGGGGAAAGAAAAATTTAAAACAACCCTTGTACATATTTTAGTGTCAATAAGTCTTTCCTGAGTTTGGTAGTTTTGAAAGAAATTTAAAATCTAGATTAAGCCTACAGGATCTTTTGCCTGTTTTTAAAGCAGTGTTTATTGTCTTTAAACTCAAGGACTGTGTAAGGGAAGTTTAAGTGTAGATGTACACTTTTTCTAAACTTTTATTGAATTTGACTCCTTTGGTTTGGTTTGGCATTGATTAAAATAATTGGCTTAACAGATTTTAAAATAGAATTCTAAATTGTGTTTTTAATTAACATACACTTTGTAGATGATAAATTAATTTCTGGGAATATTTGGGATTTAAATTTTCACCCTTTGATACCTCAATGAGGTTTTGTAGGATTTTTTTTCTTAAATACATGAATTCTCATTTTAAGGAGTTTGTCCTTAAAATTTCTCCTCTCTTTTCTTTTGTTTCTTGATGTATTTCTGCATGGGATCAACTTACTCAACTAATTGATAGTTGAGTGTTTTGTAAACTTTGCAGCTTAATTGAAGTCACACTCAATTGAACAGGTCTGGCTCTGTAAATATTTCCTACCTTTCTCCATCTTAACAATGCATTATGGTCAGTACTACAAATTTATAAGCCAGGACAGTTATAAATTTATAAACCTGAACAAGTTTAAAATTGTATTTCAGCTTGGTAGAAAAATGTTTGGGTTTTTTAAAAAGTTGTTTAAAATAATGTTTAATGATTCAATTTTCTCTTAAAATCATGAGTTAACTGCACTTTTTCTTCCAGGCTATAATCTATCAAGTAAGGATTTCAAGCCCTTGCTTCTAAGTAACTCATTCCAAAAGCAAAGATTCTTATATTGCACTTAACTTTTGATTTGGGGTTTTTTGTGTGTTGAATAATGCAAGTTATGTTTGAAATAACATCTGTTAGAAATTCATATAATTAATGAAGTGCACTCGAAGTGATTAATAATAGATTAGAAACCATCTGGAGGAAAATATCTTTAATGCTACATACAGAACTTAATTACAAAATAATTATTTTTTGTTTGTCAGTCTTTTGGGATTGACAGAGTTTTTCCCCTTGGAGAAAGCAGAAGTACTTCATGTTCTGTATGGTTCTGATTCAATTGTATATGTAACAATATATAACAATTGTTATATAAATGTGTTAATAAAAATAGAGATAACGGATAATAACGGATTTTCAATATGGATAGATTGCAACTGTTGAAAATTATAATTACCTTTAATTTGTAAGCCAAGACGGGCTTATGTCAGATCACCAGTGAAATAAGTTTAATGCTTTCACACAAAACTCAAATGTTTACAATTATACCTTTTCTTCAGCTTTATTTCGAAATGACAGGTGCTCAGTTTGGAAGACCTTCTGAATGTTGGTACATATAAAACGATGATATGATAAGATGATTAACTGTATTTCTTAATTTTCTTTATTTGAAGTGCAAAATTGCCTGCAAGCCAAGCTAAAAATTTTATGTTTGAAAAACATTTGCATCTTCTTTCTGTATTTTTCTAGAGCTTAGAAAATTCTAGGGATCCACTACTGGGAAAAATAAGGAAAATATTGACTCACCAAAAAGTAAACCAATGAAATTTAATATATTCTCAGACTCTATTGGTTTTGATATATTTTGTCATTTTCCTTTAATATTATATCTATTGAATTGTCCTTTTAACTTTTTTGGGTATTAGCAACAGCTAAAGGTATTTAATGAGTATGCTGTACTTAGAACATGCAGTGATGTTACATGGAGTCTCTTCTTGCATGTTTCTAACAATCTACCACAATTACATGAAAAGATTACTGTTTTTCCAAGAAACTCATTCTGTTCCATTTGGAAGTCAAAGGCAAGCAGGCTACAGCTGATAGGGTTTGTATCCCTAATTATTCATAGATGTACCAGTTATTTTCAATGTTACCTAGGTAGCTCTTTGACTTTTATGCAGTAGCTTTTTTCTTATGTGTATCTTAATGTTTTTTAATAACAGACAAAGAGAAACAGTATCATATTCCAGGTTTACAAATACATTACCTATGGTGTCCAAGGAGTTTGTTTTCTGCAATTTATGTGTATTACATTCATGATTACTTTATTTCTTTGTACTAACAATTTGTCTCCAAATCATAGATACCTTTATCATGTACTGATGTGTGGTATTGAATTAAAAATATTTTAAGAAAAGGACACTTTCCTGAGGTCACAAGTGCAATGAGTTCTGCTATTTCCTGGTAATTCTGAAGATATTAAAACATTATTGTTTAACTAACATTTAAAGTCACTCTGAGGAAGGAAGTAATTTTTGGTAGACCTGAAGGGTGGTTCCAACTGTCAGAAGTTAATGCTGTATGGCTGCAGTGTTTTTAATAAAGTATATAATAGGGATTTTTTTTCTGTTTTGTATGTAATATAGCTTCAATGGCTTTTAGACAACTATGAAACTGCAGAAGGAGTGAGCCTTCCAAGAAGTACCCTTTACAACCATTACTTACGACACTGTCAGGAGCACAAGTTGGATCCAGTCAATGCTGCTTCATTTGGAAAACTCATACGGTCAATTTTCATGGGACTACGGACCAGAAGACTTGGAACTAGGTTTGTGCAATTGAAATCATGAATTATAATAAAAAATAAAGGTAATAATTATGAATAAGAAACTTGTCTGCTAGTCAAAAAATACGTAAGATCTGCATTAAAATATTAGTGTTTTTCTATCAGTTGTGTTTCTTCATGTTGAACAGTTTTATGTTTTATCAAGATGCTATTATGGTTTTATTTCTTTTGCTTTTGACAGTTTATGTGTTTATATTTTGTTAACTACGCTTCAGATTTTTATCATTACAAATAAAACATAACTTACCATTTGGAAATCACTAAGAATACTGTTTGCCCGTAACTAGATAAATTGTATTTATTTGCATTTTATTTTTCTTATTCAAGTGGAGTGCAAGTTAATATGCTGATAGTATTTCTTTAAGAGAGTGAATTAATTTCCCAAAGGCAGTAAAATGACACAATGACACTCATGTAAAACAGGTGTGACAGGAGTGCCAGACCTGATTTGTGTGTTATTTTCCAGTCAATGCAAATTGTAAAGTAAATGTAATGTAAATATGTAAAACTAGTATTGCTGCTCTTTTAATTCTTGCTCTTTCATAAAGGGGGAATTCTAAATATCATTACTATGGGATTCGTGTTAAGCCAGACTCTCCTCTTAATCGGCTACAAGAGGACATGCAATATATGGCCATGAGACAACAGCCCATGCAGCAGAAACAGAGGTAAAGTGTAAAACACAACTAATCACTGCTATTTCTAGTTCATCATGTCTTACTTTCCCTGACATAGACAAGTTGGAATTCCTATTCAGTTTTTCTGCCGTGAAAATAAAAGTGTGCCGGCTACCCAGTTGATGTCAATGATGTCAGACACTGGTCAATGTGAAAGAGCATTCACCTAGAAATTGCCATAAATTTGCAGAAAATAAATAATAACAAAATTACCTATAATATGAACAGATTCTTCTTAAATATATTGAGTTCTTCTCCCACAAGCTGAATAAAAGCAGTAAGAGCTTTAATTTCAAACATTCCTGCTTTTTTCATTACTGTGTCATTTTATGTTTACACTTCTTATTAGAGAACTTACTTATCAGAGAACTTACTATTAAGTTGCTTGGTAATTATTTCATCTCCCTGTGAAGAATTAATGTGACCACAATGGTTTGTCTTCAAGTACATGTAAGTATGTTGCCTTAGTATCTTTTCTTCCTGAGGAGCCTGTGAAAGCTCAGAAGTAGTTGAAAGCAATCCACAGGGCTGTACTAGTGGTGAAAGACTGTGTGAATATGCATATTAAAAACTGCGTTAAACAGAAACTTTTAGGGGGAATAATGGAAATTAGTAAATTTCTTTGAAATTAATTTTGATTTGACTGGTGTCACTAAAGTAAAATACTTTAGGGAGATATTTTGTGTTCTTGTACGCAATTGAGATATGGAGAACACAACTTCAAAATTTAACTTCAAACACAAAGTTCACTTAGATCTGAAATTATTTTACTGTCGTTTCCAGACAGTACAGATTAGTTACAACACTAAATGGAAGCTCATGGTAAGATATATGGTCTTAACTAGCTTTTGCTGAGCATAATACAGGGGCATTGAGATAATATAATATCATGTAGAAAATGCTTGCTACAAAAACCATGGCAGGATTATATATTAAGGAATGATGATAGACATTTACAAAATCTCACAACAAGCTTATTTTACGTACTCAATTTCATTCACTTAGATGTTTCATTCACTTGTATTCAAAATTACATATGTGCACTAAAACATATGCCACAATGGTCTAACTAGAATTATTTCTGGAAAAATGATGGCAGTCAGCTAAACATTGTCACATTTCTTGTCTTCTTGTCTGGTTGGTGATTCACAATGAAAAAGTGATTTTGGAATTTCATTATATAGCTGTAAGGACTAGATATTTCTTTTTGAATTATTTGCTTGATTATTTTATTTAACACCACCGTATGCCATGCACAGTTCCCTTATTTTTCCTTACCTAATATGTTTGGCATAGTTTTCTTAACTTTATGTCAGTGTGTTCCGTGATTATATCTGAATAAAACCACACATGGCACTGTGTGCAGTTACTGTACACTTCTCCTGTGCCCCACGTTTTTCACTTGCACACATGTACCTGTACCAACATGTGCCCAATTCAGTCTCAATTCACACCAATCCTAAAGTCTCCTGTGAGAATGTGTAAAGGTGTTGATGAGGGGTGGAAACTGCAAGGTACCGTTATGCAGAATAGGTAGCTGTTATATGAAAAATACTGTGCCGTAGGAGGCTTAGTCTTTAACTTGAGTGTTTCATATATGACTGTATATCATATATGTGTATATATAACAGTGATATGTATATCATCATTATCCAAGTGCACAGAAAAATTCTAGCAGGACTTATTAAGAGAGAACTAAAAGACTGAATATTGTAATTTTCATTATTATGGTAATATTGCTATTTTGTCAGCTTATTAATATTTCTAGTGTCTTTTTTTCTTTTAAATTAGTGGTAAATTGCAGTCAATAGATTTTTTTCTGGATAATTACACCAATCCTACCATCTCCATTAGACACATCTAACTGAATAAACACTTCTCTTCTAAACAAAGCTCTAGACTGAATGTATGCCACACATCATTTTCCTTCATTCCTTTTCTTAATTTGGGAACCATGCACCTTTTGAACTTGCATAACTTCAGTATCCCAAAGTGCTCATGTTGAAGTCTTCATTATCCTCAGACAGTAATGTTGTTTCTTCTTAAAAGTAATGAAACATTACATCTGTATTAGAAAATTATGTCAAGCTGTGTGGAAAGGGAAGGATTTGATTCTTTTTGGTATAAATTTGCTGGTGTTACAACATGTTGTTACTAAGCTAAATTCTACCAGAAACTGGAGTACTGCTGGAGTACCACCTTTGTGAATTCTAAAATGCATTGTTAGCACTCTAGCTTCCCTTAGTGTTTTTTTCTTCTGTTATTTAGAAAGTAAGTAAGAATCTCTAAATTCTTTTGTCACTTGTCCTGAAAATTTTATTTTGAGATGGAAAAAAAAACCTCTGTGTTCCATTTATGAAGAAGTAAACAGAAAGGATAATTTTGTACTTGATATTTTTGCAGGTATAAGCCTATGCAGAAAGTGGATGGAGTTGCAGATGGCTTCACAGGAAGTGGTCAACAGACAGGCACATCTGTTGAACAAACTGTAATTGCCCAAAGTCAACATCATCAACAGTTTCTAGGTATGAAAGCAAGTTTTATACTGCTGTATAAATAAGTAAGATGAACTTGGTTATCACAGTGAGTATCAAACCAGACAAGTATAATAGTTGCTTCTGAAGTTATCATCTCAAAAATCGTTACTCTCAACAGAACAGAAAGGCACTTAAATTACACTTAAATTCAGCTTTATGTAATATTAAATATGCATCATGTAAGTGTAAAAGGAAAAATAGGGTGAGATATTCTTCATATTGCATAAATGAAGTTGCTTTACATAATTATAATAAGTGTGCATATTGAAATTCCTGCTATGAAAGTGGTTTCCTTCGTGTGCATTACAGTGCATTTTATTTCATGAAAATTGGGGTAGAAGGATGACATTGCACTACTATGCGGGTTAGCCACCACTGGCTGTTTTGAAAGAGTGTTTTAGTGTTTTAAGTGGAAAGAGACAAATCGTTTCAACTGAAACCTTAAAGGTCATGTTTAAAAATATCCAAATTATGGATTTGTTGGTCCAGGTAAGCATGTATTCCAGTCTTAGAAACAAATCATAATTTAGTTAATTGTTTATGTAAAAAGAGTCCTTGGCTGTGCTGATAGCATGTGCTATTAGTGTAGACTTATTTGGTTGGGATTTTCAACCACCAAATCCTTTGGCCTGATTTTACTTTTACTGAAACCACTTGGAGCATAAGAGTAGCATTAAAACGTTTTGAATCTTCTTTTCCAGGTACCTTTCAGTCCAGTATTATTTTTCTTACCCGCTTGTCTTTCAGAAACATTTGTGACAAATAGTAAAAGCACACATTGGCTCTACTTGGAAGTCTAGTAAATGTCAAGTAAAAATGTATATTGAGTTTATTAAGCCCCATCACACCTGGCTTCATAGAAACTCTTCAGCTGAACAACAAAAAAATTATTCAAGGATTAATCTCTCCTGCACTCTAGATATTTTCTTGCACTCTGTAATATTCTGAAAAAGCATGTGTTAGCTTCTCTGTATAGGTATACTATGTACATGATACCATTTTAATCTACTCAAGTATAATTTTGTATTTTTTTACTAAAAATTATTAATGTATTTAGTGCTTTGACATACAACAGGTATTAAATACTTTCCTTTTTTAATATTACGACCTTTTGGCAATTTTTTTTGTATTATCCTTAAATTTTTTTAACCATACTGTAACTGGCATCTCTTTCATTATGTTGTCATGACAACAGATGCATCTCGAGTACTGCCAGAGTTTGGAGAAGTTGAAATATCTTCTCTGCCAGATGGTACTACCTTTGAGGACATCAAATCACTACAGAGTCTTTATCGAGAGCACTGTGAGGTATTTCCTATAAACCACTTATTTTTGAAAGTTCATGACTTTTACTGAAGGCCAGTAGAGCAGAATAGTGCCAAATATATTGCAGCCATGATAATGTCATGTGACTTTCCCCACAATATTTTACTTATCTCATTGAAAAGGATAGCAAAAAGGATTTTCTGGAGGATCCCCTTTAACGAGGGAAAGAGTAATATGTAATAGATACAGAGCATGAAATGTTGTTACGTGTATATTTTTCAGAATGGTAGACTTTAGATTGTGCAAACAGATATTTGATTTCATTAATAGGAAATGTAAATCAGGTTAGATTATAATTTTATTTTCTTTTGCATTAACATAGCAGCAACATTTTTTCATATCAGAGAAACATTGAGACATCTAAGGTACATTTGATACTGAACAATATGTCTTTTAAAAATAATGTTCGAAAGTGCTTCCAACTTATAAGGCATTGTGAAAAGGAATAACGTCGCATTTGCAGTAGCAGTAAATAGTTATAACTTGAGAAATGTACAGTTTACTTTGGTTCCACTGTGTGATGAAGGAACAGAGCTGTAGATCTAGTTGGAGTTGGGAGTGGAGGGATTCTGGATAAAAGACAATATGATCTTATGTTTTATTTTTTTCAGGCAATACTGGATGTTGTTGTTAATCTTCAATTCAGCCTGATAGAAAAATTGTGGCAAACTTTCTGGCGCTATTCTCCTTCTGCTCCACCTGATGGCACTCCTGTTAATGAACCAAGGTCCGTGAATGTTTCTCTTAGTTTAATGTGTCTCTTGATAATGTAAGTGTGAAACTTTAAAAACCGTATTAGTTTTAACTTAGTAATTTTTTTTCTCCTATGATTATTTTCCAAATTATATGTATGTTATCTAGCGGTTTTGTATAGCCTGGGTATGTGCCAAAGGGCAGTCTTGAAGCAGTTGTGTCATCCATGGGGGTATTTTGCATGGAGAACTACAGTGAAGGTGTCTCTTCCCAATATTCGATCCACTTATTTTAAGCCAAAAGGATCATTACACATCTGAATTATTTCTGTGCTCTAGGAGAATTATGGAGATATTTCTTAAATCCATGGGACAATGCATAAATAAGTTATATTGGCTGCAGCTGAGACATCTATAATGCCTGTATAAAAAAGTACATTTTAACACCCAGGTTTTTACCGGCTGTAAATCATGGAATTATGGAAATTTTAGGTCAGAAAACTCAAATTCAACTGTTAACCTAGAACTGCCATGTTAGCTGCTAAACCATGTCCCTAGGTGCTATAAATGCTTTATCATTTATTAATTTGATACATTTTTTTAACACCAGCAATCTGAGTGAAATAGAAAGTCGACTTCCTAAAGCAAAGCTGATTACTCTGTGCAAGAATGAGTCTATTCTGAAATGGATGTGTAACTGTGACCATGTGATGTACCAGGCTTTGGTGGAGATTCTCATTCCTGACGTCCTTAGACCTATTCCTAGTAAGTTCAACACCTGAAAAGTTTTGTAAGGATTTTTCTGCAAGCATGTATATGGTAGAGGTGTAATTGTGCCTCACAGGCCAGCTTAAGAAGAAGATTTGAAAGTTTACTGTGTATAGTTTATCCATAGTTTTATTATGTAAGGAATTGTGCTGGGAATTCAGGAATTGTGTTTTCAGAATTCGAGGCATTCTGAAAGTTGGTAGATCTAGTTTTTAATACACAATTTCATATTAAATGTACTTCTTTCTCTGTATCTGTTACATATTTAGGTAAAAATGTTTTCCTTTTACCCTGCCTCCAGGATGCCTGGGAGAAAGAAGTCCTGTGGCCATGCACACTATTGTCAGTCAGTCTTTCCACTAAATTCAGTAGTTTTCAGTTCAAGCATCACATATTAATCCTTGATTAGTCTGGAAGAGAGCTGTGATCTTTGTGATTCCATGTTTGGAGAGGTGGCCCTTTGTCCCTGACTGCTGAAATAAATTCTAATAACTGTAGAGGCAATGAAAAATTCCAATCTACTATTTTCCTGTCATACATCCTGAATGAAATAGTAATTGTCCAGTCATACCACCATTACCAGGAGTAGAGCTGTCTTTTCAAATTTTATTTTACCAGAATCTGTCATTGCGCTAGCAGTGTATTTTTATGGCTGTCTTTGGTAGAAAACAAATTTATGTGAAGAAAGTTGAACTCCAGTATTTGTTGTCTCACATATATTGTCCTAAATATTATGAAGAAATTGTGTTAGCAACCCACTAAAATCCTCATAATTCCTATGTATTATCTTCTTCCAGTGAAAAAACAGTATTTACTTTAAAAAGTTGGATTAATTTTTTAAAATTAGGGCTGTAAGTAGTTTTGCAGGTAACAAAGCTATGTTGTCATGCTGTGAACACCTCCTCTGCTATAGTGACTCCAGCAGTAATAAGCACTCAGTAAGAATATTTGGTGGTTGTGCCTTGCAAAAACATTTTATTGACTTCTTGCTTGCCAGTGGAATACAATCAGGCTTTAGCAAATTATGTATAATATGAAAAAAATTGAAACTGGAAATGTATAAGATGTGAAGGTTTTCCATTTACAATGTACATTTTGCCTTTTTTTAAAAGAATGAATAGTTCTTTGCAGCAATTGATATAATTTGTGCATCTATATAGCAGAATAAAATGTTTTCTCAAACATATGCGATTATTGACAACTATTACTTGTGTAAATTATTTTGCATTGGTTTCTATTTAAAGTTTTGCTTCTCTAATGACAATACTATTGGTAGGATTTTAGAGTAATATAGTGTATCACAAACAATTAGGTAATAATAAAAACCCCCACAAATTTAATTGGAACATTTAATTGGTTGAATGAAAATTCTCACTTGCAAAAGCAAGTTAATTTCTGAATAAAAAGGTAGTGCAGACAGAGCTGTTCATCAAACCTGTTCATCTCCTTTTCAGTTGCTTTTCCTGCAAAGCCTGGCAGTCTCTAGAGGGGTGTTTAAATGACATCATGCTGTCTTCCTGGCTTGTTTTGTATGATGCCAATACAGAATTTCAAGAGAATGGGGCAAAATCAATTAATATCAATAACTAGATGCATCATGTTCTTTTCATGTGATTTCTTTCTTTCTAGAATTACCAGTCATATTTGAATAATTGATGCCTACTGTGTTTGACATTCCTGTTTTGGGGATGGTTATCAGACTGTTGGATTCAAACATATCATCTGATCCCAGGACAGATTCATCCTAAGAGACTTCTACCTCCTTTTTGTGAGCAGTCCTGTGGTTTTCTGCTCAGAATTGCACTCACTGAGCTACCTTTGAAATATAGCTAATGTATTTTCTTACTTTATCCTTCAGTACCAGCTAACTAAATGGCTTTTTTTAGTAGCTTTCCTTTAATGATAGGCCATCCAAGTTTCTTTTTCACTGTTAAATGGTTAAAATCTTATGATTTTTTTAAACTCCTGCTTTTGAATAAAAGCATCTCCAGTCATTACAAGAGACTGAGATAATGGCTTAAGGTTGAATATAACAAAAATGCGGCTGGGTGAAGCAGACAAATTCATCATCTGTGGGAAAATAGCAGCTTGTAGGAAAGTTTGGACTCTGTAGAGGAGCTGGGACTGTAAATGCTTGATTAAAGGCATGTTTATGATCTTTTTGAATAAATGGGAATATAGCAGCAGCCGCTGCTCAAAATAGGGAAAAATATTAATTTGAAGGGGGCTTGAAGAAAGCATTATTTTTTCAAGGTTTTTTTCTGTTTCGGTCTTTAGCGGTTTTTTTAGACAAGTCCTATTGTTGGTACATATTACTGGAGTAGAAAAAAAGACTGTTGAGGAAAAAACTGGTTTTATTTTTAATCTCTGTATTAAATTTGTCAGCTGAAATATTTCGTACCCACATAATGAGTGAAGAATTACTGTGCATAAAACAACAAAATTCCTTTTTCTAAGAAAAGTGAAATGCTGTCCTTTGGAGTCAGGAATAACGACCATAATTATCTAGTGTCCTTAGCAATAGACAAGAGCTGTTATGTTTTAGAATGGACACCTTGCATCTTCACACGTGGCAGAATTGACAGTAACAAATTTGGTTGTGAGTTAGTTTCCATGATGGGTGGAGAATTTATGCAAAATACATTTCCACACCATATTACACAATTCCAGACAGACAAAAAAATCAAAGCACTGGACCGCCTGTAAAGTTCAGTTTCATACAAGTCAGAGGGGTTTTGGTTCAGAAGTCAAGCTTGTTAGGTTTTTATGCAAATCAAACTTTCAGTAACTGCCATTGCCACATCATTTAGTGTGTGACTAGTAACACCTTATGATTTAGGCCATTTACTTTGTACCATGCTTATCATGCAAAGATTCTTTGAAAGGATTCAGATGAACTTAAAAGTTCAAGTTATAGGTACTTACAGTTTTGGTAATGGCTAGATGTGTACTTAAGAGTATGAGAAAAATTCTGTATTTCATATATGTCCAAAGCTCATTAGAAATTCATGATGGTTCTATACAATATTGATGCCTGATTAGCTACTTTAGCTTTTTTGTTCCTTCAGAGCTTAGAATTCCTTTTATTTGTTCCTTTTTCTTTCTAGTTAAAGGCCTTTCTTAAGGCCTGAGCTGTTTTTCCATGTTTATTTTTAAAGGAGATTAGCACTGCAGGGATGCAAATAATTTTGTAACATATGTATATATATACTTGGGTAAAAAAGAATAATGGGAACACCAGAATTGAAAAAGTAGTAATATTTTTCTTAAATGTCAAAGTACCAATCATGCAGTATTTGCATTATTACTTCCATCTTGTCTAGTAGGTAAGAAAATGTGAGTAAATACATAGTAAATTATTAAGTGCACTGAAATAATTTACAAAGCAGCACAAGTGAGCTAGGAGATTGACAGAATTGAGGAAAAAAGCTCGTCCTTCATGTGTAAGCCTTAAAGGAGAAAAAACCTGATATCGTAAGAGGGCTCAGCTAACACAGATACTTTAGATCAAATTGTGGTCAGCTAAGCATCCAAAGGCGTGGTGAGTTATAAGAATTACCTATATGGGTTCTCATGCTTACGATTGCAAGTTTAAAGACATGAGAAAAAGATATCACACAGAATATAATTTCTCTTCTAGTAAGTTTACATTTCTGGTAGAAAGCTTTATTTAAAAAAGGTGTTATTAAAAAAGGTATTATTTCCCTAGGTTTTTTTCTCTTCACTTTTTTAGTTGCACTCATTCTCTAGTAGTCTTCAGAAACCTGTAGTTTTTCTTTTTGTCTCCTACTTTTTGCAGCAGTTTGAGTGTTGCGCTGTTATGTCAGTGTGCAAAGGTTAGGCATGGGTTTCTATCATTCAGAAGATACGATTTTATTTTTTCCAGGTACTGTTCTTTCAGACAATACTTCCTGTCCTACTCTTTCGAAAAATTAAAATTTCTGGTTTTAGTAAGGCAGAGTACTGTAGGGGCTTCTTCAGTGTCTCTCTGAATCTGTCAGCCATTCATCATTTCTGTTGATGCCATAGAAAAGAAACAAAATTCACACAGATTTCGCAGTCATTTGAATAATTTCACTTTCTGTCAGTGAAACACTCCTATATCTTGCTTATTGATGATATCCTTAAGCAGTCCATGTGAACGGAATTTATTCTTTAAAACTGAATTAAGCAGTACTATGACATAGTTTAAGATTATTTTGGACTTACTTGAGGAAACTACAGTATTCCTGTAAGTCGATTTTCCCCCAGACTTTTGTTTTTTGAAAGAGGTGCTTAGATAAAATGAAAAGCTGAAAGTTTGTAATGGAATCTTCCATCACGACTGCTGCAATTAGTGTTGTTCTTGTATAGGAGTGCCCCAAACAGTACTGCTAAGTCACAAACTTCTTTGGAAGATTGTCTGGTGGAGAAGTCAAAACTGCTCATTAAACTAAAACTAAAACCATTATTGTGTAATCTTTATCTCAGTGAGGCATTTTGAACCTAGACTAGATTTGTCTAGTAAGTAAATGCAGCAGACCTGAAAGTTGAGTACAAGAGTTCTGAGGATGCAAAACATTTCAAGACAGGTGCACTGCTTTCTTTTCATTCTGTTTTTATTCTCCAATGTGCAGGTGCCTTGACCCAAGCCATTCGCAATTTTGCAAAAAGCCTTGAAGGTTGGCTTTCAAATGCCATGAACAATATTCCACAGAGGATGATACAAACCAAGGTAGATAAAACTTGAAGCACTATTCTTGCAGTGGCAAACCAAGTGGGCAATAGCATCTAAAAGGAAAAGCATTTTAATTTTAATGCTAAATTTCTTGTTTAGATTCAAGTGTCAAATAATGGGAGAGGAAATAATATTATTTGATCTGCTACATGGTATAATTCAAATATGAGGACTCATTAACATACACTATTAAAATAGTCAAGACTCAATCTGTAGAATTAATCTACTGAGTACAATATTTAAAAATAATAAATTTCTTCCTAGGTTGCCGCTGTAAGTGCCTTTGCCCAGACTCTGCGAAGATACACATCTCTTAATCACCTGGCTCAAGCAGCTCGTGCTGTGCTTCAAAATACTTCTCAAATCAACCAGATGCTCAATGATCTCAACCGTGTTGATTTTGCCAATGTTCAGGTAAAATTTAGTTTTGAATAGCAGGGGATTTTTATGTGTTATTTCCTCTGTGGTTTTAAACATTATTGTCAGGCATCATTCTAGCAAGAAAAGTCAAGTGCTAATATTTTGCTTATTCATATACATGGTTACTTGGTCCAAATGTGACAGCTTAATGCTTTAGGAAGACAAGAGCTCAGAGCCATTACCTGTTTCCATTTACTCTCTTGAAATGCACATATTCTTCCAACTTGTATGCAAATGCAGAGCAAGTACTTTCTTAGAATGGGTACCATAAATCGTGTCTTACTAATAGCAAAAATGATATTTTAGGATTAAATCTCAGTAGTGTATCTTCTGAATGTCTGTTAAAGTTATTAAATGCATGGCACTGTCAGTACAGATTGTCTCCATTATTTAAAACCTCATTCATTAATATGTTTTTTCTATGTGCCTCTGCCTAAACTTAGAAGATCTCCCGAATAATGGATTAGATTAGTATGGTTAGAACTTATAGAGCATAAATTCATGATTTACTGAGCTTAATTTCTCTACATGTTTTTGCTTGTCTGAGGAAAAATACTTCTGTCCTTTTGGCCAGCAAAGTGAAAGGTTTCAGATTCCTGGTAGTTCTGTGTTTCTCTTCATTGTGAACGAGTATTTTAATGTACTTATTAGCACAGTTAACAGAAATCTAGTCAAGGGTTCTTGACCAGATACTAATTACAGTAATATGTTGACATGGATACACACTCTCTGAATGAGATGTTAACTTGGCACATGACAACTGAAGTTTAAATGGAAATGGCTTGCAGTTAGTGAGCTGTCATCTTTTTTTCTCATTTTCTGAATTGAACAGCTAGCTTTATTTAAACTTGGTAGCACTGACTAAATTGCTGATTACTGTATGCGTATTGTGTTTCTCCACTCGTGCAGCTTTTGTTGTCTTTAAGTAATGTGTAATCTATTGCTCTATAGAGTCAGCAAACAATCCTTGTTTGCATACAAAGTTTCTTTTATAAGAGGATGAAACAGGATTTGTCTTCAAGCTTAACTTTTTCAGAACAAAGGGAATATTGCACTAGATTTCTCACTACTTCTTTTATTACATTAGTCCCCAGCATTTGACTCTTCTTCCTGCTTGCCCTGCCTGAAATCCAAGAAAAATATTACAAGATGTAGTATTTCAGTAGAAAAATTACAAAAGTAGAAGCCTTTTTTCACAAATGAATATGGGAAACAGGAAACTTCCGTTGTTTACATTGTTCATTCTAATTTCTTTATTTGATATCTGTTCTTTTATGCTATGCTTTTCCCACCTATTTGCTTTCAATAAAATTACAATAGACATAAAATAAAAAACACTTTTTAGTCTGTCTAATAAGTGGGTCCAGTCTCTTTCATCCATTGAAGAGCTTAACCTTTGAGCTACAATTACATTGTGTGCTTTGGCTTATGTACTGTCAATTCAAGAGTTACCATATGCTATAACAGGAGCAGGCTTCCTGGGTGTGCCAGTGTGATGACAACATGGTTCAGAGACTCGAAACAGATTTCAAAATGACTCTTCAACAGCAGAGCACTCTGGAGCAGTGGGCTGCCTGGCTTGATAATGTAATGATGCAAGCATTGAAACCATATGAAGGAAGACCCAGCTTTCCTAAAGCAGCACGGCAATTTCTGTTAAAATGGTCTTTCTACAGGTAGTATTCAATAGATTTTAAAGCATTCGAACTATTCTATTAATTGCTGAATTGTGCATTGTACTGAAGTTGACAATTCTAATATCAAACAGTGGCTTGGTACATCATGAAAAATGGTTTTTTTTTCAGAGGACTTCTGTTAGTAACCTTGAAATCAGGGCTATCAGGAAATGACCCTTTTTTATTGTTTTAAAGGCCATCTGAAAGTGAATGCAGGTAATTTTGTCAAGAGTTAGAAATATATTATAAATTGTTTTGGTTAAAAAACTAGCAGTTATTAAGTCACTGTTTTTAGTACTACTTATTAAAACATTGTGGCATCAATGTTTATTAGATAAGAAAGGCAAAAGCTGTTTTTAATATATGAAAAGAACATTAAGACAAGCATTCCATGTTAGCTGCTTATTGAAACAGTTATCAGAGTAAACCTTGTTCTTTGAACCTGGCTCTAGCAACTGCTTGCTGAAGATACAAAGATATAATATGAACACACAAGTCCATTGTTTTTTAATTCTAAGTTTAAAAGCTTTTTAAATTCTGGCAATTAAAAGCATTGCCCTAGAAAGATTGACACAACAGACACTATTTAAGCAACAGTTTCTTTAAAGTCAAATCGTTTTCTTACCATTTTAGTTATTTATGTTTCCAACAAAATTGCTTTCACGTTAGTTTTATAATTGCTCAATTACTGGTAGTTAGGCATAGGTCAATACCAAAACCAAACTAGTCTAGTTATTTCTTAAGTGGTGTCCAACAGTACCTTCAGAGAAAGGACAGAAGCAAATGATTGCCCTTTCCTGGTCATCCCTATAAATCAGACATTTGAGGGTAATGTTGCTTTTGAGAATATTGGTTTTGAGGTGAAATGTCTGTCTACATGGATAAATGTTAAAATGGCTGTGACATATAATACATAAACATATTTTTTATTTCGAATAGCTCAATGGTGATTCGGGATTTAACCTTGCGCAGTGCTGCTAGCTTTGGCTCTTTTCATCTGATCCGCTTGCTTTACGATGAATACATGTTTTACTTAGTAGAGCATCGTGTTGCTCAGGCAACAGGAGAAACACCTATTGCAGTTATGGGAGAGGTAAGATAATATGTAAGAGACTAGACTGATAGATTTAGTGATGAATTGGAGTAAGTTTCTGCACATTTTTAAGTGTGTATGTAGAATGGTAGGATGCTCTGCAGTATCACAATAGACTGGGTTACAAATATGTACAGTGTTTTCAAACTTGTTTCACTGGTTCATTGTAAGACTACTAAAATCACACTGAAGTCTTAAAATCAATTATTTCTAAATGAACTTGCTGATTTTATAAATCTGCACACAGATTCATATGCACAGTTTGAAAAATGTTAATCAAATAATACAACCATTTTCTGCTTTTTGAGACTTGAATATTTTATGTGAAAATAAAGAAGACCCTAGTAATAGGAAAATGTTACTTCTGTGGATCTGTTTAGATGCATATGCACACATAACTCCCACACAAAACATATACCCTCTTTGACATAAGAAGGCTGGTTTACATGCAGAATTTTGGCTTGTGCAGACCTGGTCACATACCAGTGCAGGCATACATAGAAGTTTGCAACACATTTGATTTTCATACAGTTTTTTTTAAGACTATTGGTTTAAAAAACAGATCTAGAGTCTCAGTTCATAACTATTATTTTATACTCAGCTGTGGCATCTGCTAGGCAAAGTTTCTCTTATCCCTGTTCTTTTCAGTTATTCATCTGTCCTTTTATTTTGAGTGAGACAGTATGGAAAGCGTGAACAGTTCCCAAAGAATAATGCTTCAAAGGTGCTGAAAAATGGATATATTTGAAAATATGCCAAATCGTTAATAGGACGGGTTTGTTACATTTTTACACTTGGGAGTCACTGTCATGTTTTATGTTACCTATAAATTGCAGGTAATTTTTCTAGTTGAGTTGTCATTCTTCCCACAAGATATATTGATAGGCCTATTAAATATTATAAAGAGATTATATACTTATAAGAGAAGTTGGAAAATGTCTCAGCTTGCTTTGTCAGATTATTTTATATCATTTGTCATGACATGTTTCAGAAAAAAATAAATGTTTTACTTAGTAGAAAGACCCAGAATCAGTATACATGCTCTTACATTTCTTGCCTTACATTTGAAGAAAGTACTACACAAGTATGCAGTTGCTACATTCTTGTTGTCTCAGCAGATTTTATATGTTAGACATAAATGTAGCATAGGGCCTTCTAAAAAATTTACGAGACTGAAGATGGAACTACTATGAGGAAGTAAGTATTGCAAAGTTTTTGGAGGTGAGGGGCAGAATAGAAATAATGCATGAAATGCATGCCTTCTTATGTCTCTGTATTCGATGGCTGAAATAAAATGAGGAAGATTACAGTCGAACAAGCACTGTAAAACAGTGTAACTGGTTGCAACTGAGAAAAACATTCTCATACTTCTCTCTTCCTCTTCTTCCACCCTTGGACACAGGTATTGGCAAAATTCTTCGGGGAAAGACTGGTATCATCATTTATGATTAGAAATGTATGTGTCTAAACAATATGCTTTTCTTCTGATATCCATTGGTGGCATTTTACTCTTCCAAATTTCACACAAGAGAAATGGAGGAAGAAAAGGGAAGAGGGTTTCTAACTTACATTCAATTTCTTTTAAACGGTCTGGATTTTAATGTAAATCAGTTATCAGGTTATAAACCCTTTCTCAGCAGTGCCTTTCATCTGCCTTACAGGTAGATTAACAACACTGTGACATACTTCATTTTTTTCTAGCACAATTAAAATGGTGCCTGAGAAATTTTAAAGAGTTTTTTGTTATAATATTGGCAGTTCAGAATGAATATCCATTATAATGTATGGCTTTATAAAACACAGAAATAGCTCACTTCAAACAACAAAGGCCCTGAGGAAGCAATCTTTAAAAAAGGTTGTACTTCTCCATTCTAATTTTTGAGGGTTTACTTAGTGATAATTGTCTTAATAAGCACAAGACTGAAACAGAATGGGAAATTGCTCTGCTGTGGATGTGGCTGCAGCTAAGATTATACATTTGAATGAATGCAACCATCAAACCAGTGGAGCACAGAGTTCCTACATCATAGATACTGTAAGTCCACATTTGCTTAAAACTGTGTCCATTTTTTTATTGTTTATTTTGCAGTTTGGTGATTTAAATGCTGTGTCTCCTGGAAATATGGATAAAGGTAAGCATTTTAGTATCTCCAGGGTATAATTCTGTGTAGAGCTAATGTGTCTCTGTGCAAAATAAAGCCTTATGTTTTAGAAACACAGACAAACACAATTTATAGAGCTGTATCATCCTTTAAAATGCATGTATATGCTGTGTGGATATATTTATATAATACCATAGATATGTATGTAACATGCCACATGTAATAATGCTGGAATATTGTAGGTTTGTTTTACAATATGTAATAGGATGGAGGAGGGTAACAGTGTGGGAAGAAAGACAAGAGTATGCTTATGGATGTTTAACTGTAGTGAATATTTTGCTAAGTCAAGAAGCAGAATTGTATGCAAATAGTCAGGGAGAAATTAGTTCCTTATATTCTCTTCATGCCTTATTTTGACATGCATTGCTTATATTGACTGCTTTTGTGATTTGGGGTGATTTGACCTAAGAACACTCAACTAGTGAGTATAAAAATGTTTGTCAAAATTTGGGGTCAAGTGACCACAACTCTCCTCACTTCAGTTTCCCTATCTATACCTAAAAGTAACAACTCTTGTTCATCGTGTTTTGGAAATGAGGCATTTCCAAATATGAGGTTAACCTTGTTTGTTAGACCTTTTGAGATTGCAGTTGTTTTTTCCACATCCAAAGTGTGTAGCTCAAGTGATCAAACCTGAATCTGTTTATCTATTTGAGATAACAGTTGACTTTTATCCATTAAGATTTTGATTTTCAGTTTGTGCTTTATCAGATTGCTCCTCTGCATTTCAACTATTACTTACAAAGTAAAGAGCCTTGTATTAGAAATTTCTTGCTTTGTGGTAGTTACACGCTGGTTTGTTTGTGCAGATGAGGGCAGCGAAGTTGAAAGTGAAATAGATGAAGAGCTGGATGAAAGTGGAGAGCCACAAGCTAAGAGGGAGAAAACTGAGCTGAACCAGGCATTCCAGGTGGGCTGCATGCAGCCAGTGCTTGAGAGTGGAGTACAGCAGAACCTCCTGAACCCAATTCATAATGAGCACATTGTTGCAACTACTCAGACTATCAGACAATGCAGTGCTACTGGAAATACATATACTGCAGTCTAATGTGAAACTTCCCCTGGCCTCCGACACACGCCCCATTGCATTTTAGCTGTTTAGGTTTACTATGAAAAAGAAAAAAAAAAAGAGAGTAAGTCTGAAGGTTGACTGTTGTCAAATGTAACTGTTCTGATCATTATTTTGTTGGAGTTGTTAAATGGAATGGGTATATGTGTTTTGCCAGGTCTGTTTAGAAACAAAAGAATTTTTGTAAACAAAATCATTTTACATTGGCCACTCAATATGAAGAGCTTTCTTTGTATCAAATGCAAGGAAGATTTTTGCAAAGTTTAATGTTAATGTTTTGTCCTCTTACAATAATTTAATTTTTTCATAGTTTTAAAAATATTTTAATGTTAATTATTAGTTATTATGCTGATTTCATATAGATAGGTTTTTAATTAGATGCACTTCTGTGAAATATCAAAAGAACTATTTTCTTTGATTTACACTGGAGGCATACTTATTTGACAGCAGATGTATCAAATTTGTTATAAAAGGTGCTTTTCATCGTACTACGAGAAGACACTATTTTGATAAAATTGTGAGTATTCAGGGGGATTTTTTTGTAATAATGCTGGAGGGTTGAGAAGATCTCCTAGTTTCTTCCTGTGAGGAAGAAGCTGTTTAAAAGAAGAAGCTGTTCTGTGTCATCAGAAGCTGATGACAGAATTGTATCAGAATGTGGTAATCTGTATGGCATAAATGTACCTAATTATCTGAACATGATGTAAACAATGCAAGCTTCATTTAAAATCAACAGTTTCAGATATTATTTGCATACCAGTTCCTCTGTTTTGAAGACTACTGATTCTATATGTGAGGTCACTGAGCAGATGCTTTTGATTGTTCAGTGGCGCTGTAGTTGTTAGAAACTGAAGCTAAAAAAGAAGTGACTTGATTATTGTTAATTTTAAGTGTATGTGCTACTTATGCTGAACTGGACATACAGGAAAACATTCCATTTGGATGACTTTCTTCTATTCCAGGTCCTTTCCTACTAGTGGTTCAATCTGCTGCTCTTAGAAAAGATGATTTATAGAATGCAAGGAATGTAGCAACCTGCATCATTTTCCTTTCAAAAGCATTTCCTTGTTGTTAAAGTGGATTTAAATTTTTACAAAAATTAGACAAGGCAGTGTAACTGGCACACCTCACTTGTACTTATTCCCAATTGTGTAGAATTTGAATAGGTGGCTAGATGGACCATTGCCATTTAAGAATGTACATCAGGGATCATTGTACCTCGGCTATTACATGGTGCCTTAAACAGAACTGAAGCTAAGACTTAGTACTTTTTGTTATTCTTAACTCTTAAATTAATTCAACAAGGTGTGCCTGTCATTTTCAAATTCCCTAAGAAGTAAGGACAGGTTACACAGCCTTCAAAATAATAAAAGGATTTTTTTATTATTAAATGATTTTAATATCCCTCTTAGAATTACAATAGACCTATTTTTTCTCGTTTCTAGCTGGATTTCACTTTAATAGAAATAAAATATGCTTGGGAATTTGGAAAGCAAAACTAGCTTTAATACCAACTTCAAATGTCAAAATAGATTGACCATAGTCCCAAGCATGATTATATATTTTCTAAAACACTTGCCTACTTTTAATTTTAAAAACTAAAAAGAAATAAATGAGCAGGTACATAATGCAGTGCATGTTTTCAATTTCTATATTTTGTGGTGTATCAGCCAGATATTACATTTTAATGGTTAAATAATAGCAGTTTATAGAGACCATATTAATTGACATTAAAAAACTCAAGTTTTTCTTCGCAAACGTTTCATTATGCAGACACATGAATTTGCTACACAAAAATATAGAATTCAATAAGGAAAAAAAAGCCCAAAAGTGAATGAAAACACAAAAATATCAACTTTACAGGAAAGACTGTGTAAAACAATTAGGATTCTTTTATTCTGGTTTATCTAGTGTGTCTGAAAATGACTTTAAAGTCATATATACCAAATGGGAGAAGAGCATGTAAAATGGAAGTGTATTTATAGCAAACAGGTTTGTTGCTAGAGTTTACATATGCTCCAAATACAGCTGCACATAAACTAAAATGTCCTAACATTACTGGTGCACAAAAATAAATTTTAATTCCTTTGCAGAATTGTGAACCTATCCAGCTCATTCTGTGTAGGCATAATTCCTACTAATGTCAGTAGATGGCTTTTGCCTCAGTAAAAGTAAAAGTGAGGTTTATATTCATTATTTCTTAACTCATAAATGCACTGAATCTCATTATAGATTTTGTTGTCACATATATTGCTCAGTGTGTCCTGATTTTTCCTTCAAAATCAGCACATCTGTACCCTTCACCAAAAATGCTAAAACTAAGCTGTGATAAATATTTACTCCCCTTCATTGTGCATTATAAGATGTTTACAAGTAAAATAAAGTGAAATAATTCAACTTTTTTTTCATTTTCAGCTTTTTTTTAATACTGTAGTAGTTATTTTAATTTTTGTGTTCGTTTGTGTTTTCTTATTCTTATTCTTTGGTTTAATGTTGAATTTGTTGTTGATGAGAAAAGTACAATTGTAAAAGGTAAATCTAGATTGGTAAATACGATGGGACTTGAGTATCTTTCCTTATTTAGTTCTCCACTCAGTTGTTAACTGTCAGAAAGTGAAAAACAAAACGGAACAAAAATCTGAATTAAAAAAATTGAATGTATTTCATAACTTCTAAAAGCAATGAATTATCAAGACAAATTGGACCTTTCACAGATTCAGAAAACTGACTGGAGTCTATTCTTATTCTTAATTAAATTCTAAAGATTTTGCCAGATTTTTTTAGAGCAACTATCTTACTGTGTTGTAAACTTAGAGATTTGGGGGTCTTTTGTTTTGTTTTTACTGACATTTCAATCAAACACTTAGATGAAACGTTTTGCACACTCTTGCAGTTTGATAGCTGGGTTTTAGTAGGCGCGGAAGGAGAGACGAGTACCTCAGTGTGTATTCTGTGCTGTGAGCGGGCGGCTGCCTCGCCACAGCTCTGAACTCTGCTGTCAGTGCTGGGGACAGGTCAGCGTGTGTCCACAGGGTAGGCATTATGAGAGTTGACATGATTTATGTGTTTTATCTAATCTCGAAATGGAATCCAGAATAGTTATTTTAGAGGCATTTCCCCCATTAGCACAAAATAGCACAGTGAACAGTGTGGGGGAAGAGGTCTTGTTGAGCTACCTTTTCAAAGCACAGGGCCCAATTTTCAAAAGTTTTGTATTTGTTTAAGTATTTTGTTACATTTTCATCTTTCTTGTGGTAAATCGGTTTTAAAACATATTTTTTCTTTTTTTCAGCTTTTTTTTTGCTTGTACTGTAGCATGCTCTAAGCACCTTCATTTTTAAAAAGTTCCATAAAAATTTGGAAAATAGATGTTAAATTATTTGCCTATAAAATGATGATTTACAGCATTACTGCCTTTAGTTAAAAAAAAATAACAATGTTCTGTCATTCAGGAATGCATAGGTCTATATACAAATTTCATTTAAAGCGAGGTATTTTTAAATATCTGAAACACTTTTTGTTTTATCTTGCTTTCCCTAGGAAAAATGATCTGATGTCTTTATCATTCTCACCAATTGACATCTGCACTGTTTAGAAAAAAATCCATGTTAGAGATGCACTGCAATCCAATTTAATTCATAATGCTTTTACAAAAGAAAACTAACCACTGATAGCCATAAATTTACTGATTAAAAACCCTAGATTTATTAGTAATATAAGTATAAAACAATAATTTCAGAGTTTAAAATACAAATTTGAGAGAGCAAGATGAATTTCTGAAAATTGGGCCCTTACACTAACAGGACATGCTCTTTGTATACAGTTTAAAGCAAATTGATACATGGTATTCTAGTATCTCTGCTAATTTGTTTGGTGATTTAACACTGACAATAAAAACTGGAATAGAAGCATAAACACACAGTGCTTAGTTCTAGTGTTAGGAAATTAATTTGATATAATGCCTTGCATTAACCCTTTGAGCATTGTAAGTAACATGATGGGAACAAAGATTTTTAGATAATTTAACTAGTCCACTGAGCATATACTTTGAAATAGCTTATAGTGTTGTAAATTTTTTTTAACTATGTCTAAAGTTAATACTTGCATACAATATGGGGATGTTTTTGTATTTATAGGGAGCTCAGTAGATGTAGGCAAAATATTCATTGCCATTGATATGTACTGTGTAATATAAAACAGTACTTCAGCTCCCTGGTTTTCATAACTGCATAGATATACAAAGAAAATCAAACATGATAGGAAGTTGTCTACTTTAAGATGCCTTTAGAAGATAAAGGTTTAGAAAATATATTCAGCTATTTTGAAAATTTCCTGAGATAGATTAGTATTGGAATACTCTGGTACTGTAAAAGACAAATCTTTAGGATTAAAAGAACGTTTAGTAATAATAAATTTTGCAGAATATTTGATGTGTTTCATTGAAATTTTTGGCAGTGTTTGTGAGAAACAGGAACAAAAACTGCACAATTATGTTAATATTCCTTTTAAAACTCAGTCACTGCAATAATGACTAGCTAGAAGATGAAGGTATTTTATTAAATTTCACATACAAGGGTACAGTTTGGATGGCCCTTATTGAATGTCAGAATTTTAAAAGCAACCTAGAAATTGCACGAGCGAATATTTTTAAAAGCCCCTTTGTTCTTACAATTACTGCTTACAGGAACAGGGGAACAAGTGTAGTAGCAAGCAAAGATTCTTTTAACTTAGAGATACTGATGCCACCTTACTAAGTGAGAATACAGTACATTTTCTACTGGTTTCTTGCAATATCAGTCAGCAAACACTAAAGCAGCTGTACTTATTTAAGTCTAGCTGAGGGCAAAGAAAAAGGGTATCATTTAAAGTTATTTAAGGGAATTACGTCAGTAGTATAGTGCTAGCAAGTTGTAAACATTTTTAGTCAGTTAATGCAAATTAATGCATAATTAATTAACATAAATGCAATACTCAAAGGGTTTTAATTTAACAACTTTTTTTATTCATAATTTACTGTAAATGCTTCTGAGTTTGCATGCCT